AACTCCACGAGAGCAGAGACCTGTTCACCGCTGTGTCCCCAGATCCTGGCAGCGTACTTGGCACATGGCAGGGGCTTGTATCAGTTTCCTCTTGCCGTTGTAACAAACGACCACAAACTAAGTGGCTTAAAAACAATACAAATGTATTATCTTATGGTTCAGGACGTCAGAAGTCCTCCATCAGTCTCAGTGGGCTAAGATCAAAGTGTCAGCATGCTTGTGCTCCTTCTGGAAGCTCTAGGAAAGAATCTGTTTCCTTGTCTTTTCCGGCTGCACAGGCTGCCTGCACTCCTGGGCTCATAGTCTCGTATCACTTGGGCTTCTGCTTCTGTCATCCCATCTCCTGACTGAGTCTGACACATTGCTCTCCTCTTCTAATGTAATCGCAGGGAAATTACACTGGACCCATCCATGTAGTTTGGGGAACTCTATTTTAACTTCTCTTAAACACATCTGCCAAGTACTTTCTAAGTGCAAGGTCGCATATTCACAAGTTTCAGGAATTGGGACGTGGACTTTTTTGAGGGGCCATTATTCTGTCTACTAAATGATTCAATAAATGTTGAATGATAAATGAATGGATGGGTCCCTTTACGAACAGAATGCTGAGCCCTGAATTCCAGGCCTGGCTCAGCCATTCCCTGGCTGTGAGACCTTGGGCAAGTCCCTCTTTCTCTGAACAGATGTGTTCTGAGCACCTACCAGGTACTCTCCTCTTGGTAGGCACTGGAACAGATGTGTTCTGAGCACCTACCAGGTACTCTCCTCTTGGTAGGCACTGGAAATGCCACGGCAAATAAAAGGAGACCCCTGCCTTCCAAGAACTTGGAGTTTGGCTTTTGGGAAAAGGCCTGAGAAAGATAACCACTGACATAGTTTGCTTAGGTTCACATTCTGTGTCACCCCAGTTGAAGTCCTAAGGGAACGTTCCTACTGAGAAGGTGACATTTCAAATGACTTTTGACACACGGGTAGGAGTTTCTGTGCTAGCGAAGTGGAAAGGACACTCACTGCCTGGGACAGGTCACAGACCTCTTTGAGGAACTGTGAGGCATGTGGTTGGAGATAGTGGGGGCGGCAGGGAGCACGTCTGGAAAGGCGGCCTTGAAGGCCGTGATCAAGAGCTTGGGCTATGCCCACAGGTCATGGGGCCACAGCAGGGTCTGAGAGTTACCTGCAGCTTTGAATCTGTGCTACTCTCTCTGGCTGCTGTTAGGTAGAGAAGGGATTGTGGGGCCACTGTCTGAGCCTGAGGCAGAGGTGGCCTGGACTGGGCAGGAACAATGGGGATGGAGAAAAGGGGACAGACCTGAGAGGGATTTGGGAAGTAGGTTCAGTGGGACACAGTGATAGATTGAGAAGGGTGAGAAGAGCCCGGGGCAGCTGGGAAGGAAGGGCAAGCAAGATGGAAATGCATGTGGGAAGTTCTTTGCAACCGTTGAGTAGACCATGAAGTGGCCCCCATTGCGACTTGGTGAGAAGCCCTAGGAGAGGCCGGTGATGGGGCCCAGGAACCAACCCGGTGGGTTCATAGGCCTCTCTCCTTGAAGAGAGCACAGTCATGATCACCAAGGGTACAAGATGGGCCTCAGCTCTGGATGAGGGCTTGGGGCCATTTACCTCCTGTCCACGTTCTCACTTGATTTACAAACAAACACTGAGGTAAATAGATAGGGCTGTGAGAGCATCTTCCTCATTTCCACACGCGAGCAGATCCTGGGACATGCAGACCTCCAAGAGGCCCAGCTCAAGGGGGATTTTACAAGTCTCTCGAGACCCAAAGGGAAGGAGGTTGGGGGTCCCCTTGATGGCTCCTGGCCACACTGAATTTCCTTCAGTTTGGAGGAAGCGGGAGTTTCTTCTTTCACAATATGAATGTCAGAGATTCTGGGTCACTGGTGACTAAGAGTGAGGTTTGTGGGCGTAGCAAGCGCTTAAATATCAGACCTTCTTACCTTTAGGCCATTGTAAGTCCCCTGGGCTGGTACACACAACACAGGAGCATGGCCAACCTGCAGACCTCACTCCTGGCTGCCTTCATCCTTCTTGCTATGGTACTTCAAGCAACCGAAGCAGGTAAGGCTTGGGGGAGACGGGGAGCGAGGGGAGGCTCCCTGCAGCAGCCAGCGTCAGACCCTGGGGTATCTTCCTCATATAGTGGAAAGAACACTGGGCTGAGCAGGCATCCTGAGTCTGCCACTGGCTCTTGAGCCAGTCCCATTGCTTCTCTGGGTCTCAGTTTACACATCTGTTTAATGGGTAGCCTTAAAGGCTTGGAGTTGAGGACCTGTCTCAGCTGGGTAGGGGGTTGGGGGTTGGGGTCGGCATGGCTCAGAGTCCTAGACTCTAGAGAACTGGAACATAGGGTCCTTAGAGTGGGGGGAAGGCAGGCGCCAGGTTAAGGAATATTCCCTTGGAAAGCTGGTCCTACCCTCCCACCAACCCATTTGTGCTCCAGGACCTGCCCTCAACCCTGGGGTCCTGGCTTCTCCACCCCAGTGTAAACTCTCCTGCCCCGTGTTGGGGAGGGAAAGAAGCACTGGACTGGGAGTCGGGCAGCTGGGGCCAATAACTGCTCAGTTATTGAGGTGCCTATGTGCTTTCCTTTCATTCAAGCCTCCAGAGAGTCGGTATTATTATCCCCTTGGTCAGAGGAGGAAAATGAGCCTCAGAGACGTTAAATGACTTGCCTACACTGGCCGCACGACTCAAGGCAGAATGGGACTTGAGCCTGGATCTGAGTGACTGGACTTGACTTGAGCCCTTTTCCTGACTATCCAGAGTCACACTGGGTGGCTCTGGGCAAGTCCTCCCCGTCGCTGGACCTCAGCCTCGCCATTTACTCCACAAAGGGGGTTAATGTGGCTGTGCGCTGAAGGTTACCTGGGGGTCTCCTCAAAATGCCCGCCTGATTCAGGAGTGCTGGAGCTGGGCACCCAGCATTCCCGACAGGCTCTAGGTGATGCTGATGGGGCTGGTCCATGGACTTCACCCCGAAAAGCGAGGCTCTGAGGCTCCTTTCTGTTCAGTCTCTGGGTCCCAACTAGAAGTTTTCGGGCATCATGGATTGGCAGTCATTCTGAATCTCTCTCTCTTGAGCTGACCCACCCAGAGTGTAGACATTGGGTCCTTAGTGGCTTCTCAGAGGTCCCAAGAGCAGAGACTTTGAGGGCCCAGAATCCTCTGGATACCAACCTTACACATGAAGAAAAAAAGCGGGGTCAGAGGTTGTGGCTGAGGGGGACTCTCTGTGCCCGGCCTGCCACTCCTCTGAGCACCCCTCTCCCCCAGGTCCTTACGGAGCCAACGTGGAGGACAGCGTCTGCTGCCGGGACTACATCCGTCACCAACTGCCTCGGCGTGTGGTGCAATATTACTACTGGACCTCGCACTCTTGCCGGAAGCCTGGCGTGGTGTGAGTAGGGCACGGGGAGAGCCTGATGGGTATGGCCCAGAAGGGCCCAAGTGCGGGTGGGTGCAGGCACTCAGAGATCGAATGAGAGCAGCTGGGCCTCTGGATGCC